TCCTTATTGATGTTAGTTTGTGCCATTTGGATAAACTATCTAGTACTCGACCCGCGTTCCTTATCGGCTAGGTTTTACCGGGACTTACCACTAGACCATCTCCCGTTACAGAAAATCCGGTCGATAGTGAGAAAATGGTAGCGTGTTACAGGATTGAATGGCAAAGGTCATGGCAGACCATCATGTAGCCAACTTCTGACTATAGTGTTTGTTTAATTGATTTTATTTTATTTGATACGCACAAGGCGTCCATCTAACACAGAAACCAAGCATCACACAGAACAATGCAAAAGAGAAAAAAAAGGGCAAAAACCCTAATAAATCAGCTCAAGTTCAGCCCCCAAAGTTTTTTCTAGGGATAGAAAGGGAGGACTGAGGTTGTTTGGACGAGTATGAAGTCGTCGCAGGTATAGAGGTTCAATGGAGTCTGTCTCATGCCCCCTGCTCTTAGTAAAAATGCTCTTATTCAAAAATAAGCAACTGTAGACGTTGGAAGCAGGTGTACTGGTAGTATAATAATATTGGTAGCCCCCCCCCCAACCAATTTCTGAGGAGAGAGTAGAACTACAATACCGCTCACAGAATGTGCAAAATTTCCGTAAATGTCGCAGAATTCCGAGAATTCCACGAAGGTTCGCGAAGTTCCGGGAATTTTGCGACATTCCCGGAATTTCGCGACATTCCCGAAATTTTGCGAAATTCATGTAAATCACGCAAATTACGCAGGGCCATAACTTCGTTCCGAATGAGTATATTCAAAATCCGAAAACGGCATTGTATTCAGCTCGTCAAGGCGAATTTTTGGTGTACAGTTTGTCTTCAATATCCTCTTTTCAATAATTTTGAATCTGCATGCGGACGCCTTTTCGCGTGGGTGTAACGCAACAAGCATCACACATAGGAGATTGCGGCGGGCACCTTTCGATAGCACTCTTTCAGTAGATTATTCTGCGCTAAACAGCAGCCGAAGACTCTTTTTAAAAGAGATAGAAGAGCTGATAAACTCTGGAAAAGTCAAGCTGTTCCAAGTTCTACTAGCCGTAACTTCCTTCAGAATGAACATTTTCGAAATCCGAAAACAGTATTGTGTTCAGCTCGTTAAGGCGAATCTTTAGGTATACAGCATGTCCTTTAAATTCCATTTCCAATTTTTTCAAAATTTTCTGCGCGCGTATATTCGCAAGGTCGCAACGCAGCGCACATCAAACATAAAAGACTCCAATAAGCACTATTGGATTGTGCTGCTCCCGCAGATTACCGAGCGCTAAAAACGAACTGGAGAATCTTTTTCGAAAAAGATAGAAGAGCCGGTGAATTCTGGAAAAATCGTGTTGTGTCAAATTTTGCCCACTGTAACCCTAAAATGGGAAGCTCTCCTGCTAAGCAGATGTGCTTTTCGTAATCAGCAGGTCAGATAACCTCTTTGAGCGAAGTTTCCCTATAATCCAAGATCATCGACATTTTGACCAAAACCCATTCGAGCTTCAGGGCGTAGAACGAGAAAAAATCAAATCACCCGAATTTCTTTGAAAACTTGCTCATAGAGGTTATCTGACCTGCTGATTACGAAAAGCACATCTGCTTAGCAGGAGAGCTTCCCATTTTAGGGTTACAGTAGGCAAAATTTGACACAACACGATTTTTCCAGAATTCACCAGCTCTTCTATCTTTTTCGAAAAAGATTCTCCAGTTCGTTTTTAGCGCTCGGTAATCTGCGGGAGCAGCACAATCCAATAGTGCTTATTGGAGTCTTTTATGTTTGATGTGCGCTGCGTTGCGACCTTGCGAATATACGCGCGCAGAAAATTTTGAAAAAATTGGAAATGGAATTTCAAGGACATGCTGTATACCGAAAGATTCGCCTTAACGAGCTGAACACAATACTGTTTTCGGACATCGAAGATGTTCATTCTGAAGGAAGTTACGGCTAGTAGAACTTGGAACAGCTTGATTTTTCCAGAGTTTATCAGCTCTTCTATCTCTTTTAAAAAGAGTCTTCGGCTGCTGTTTAGCGCAGAATAATCTACTGAAAGAGTACTATCGAGAGGTGCCCGTCGCAATCTCCTATGTGTGATGCTTGTTGCGTTACACCCACGCGAAAAGGCGTCCGCATGCAGATTCAAGGTTATTGAAAAGAGGATATTGGAGACAACCTGTATATCAAAAGATTCGCCTTGACGAGCTGAATACAATGCCGTTTTCGGATTTTGAATATACTCATTCGGAACGAAGTTATGGCCCTGCGTAATTTGCGTGATTTACATGAATTTCGCGAAATTTCGGGAATGTCGCAAAATTCCCGGAATTTCGCGGAATTCTCGGAATTCTGCGACATTTACGGAAATTTTGCACATTCTGTGAGCGGTATTGTACGAGGAAAGAGATTGCACAATGCAAACGTTTCAGGCCACAAGGTGTCCCAAGCATCAAGGAAGTGATGAAATGAACCCAACAACGCGTGAAATGTAAATGTGTTGAAACCGCAAAAACATTGATTGGCAACGGTGTGAACCGAGGTTCAACGAAATGATGGAGAATCTGATCTAACATAAACTAAAATCAAACAAAAAAATGTTTTTCGCATTTCCTTGACCACAATCAGTCCGCAGTAAACGCCTAGATGAAACAGATGGTGTCGCGTGCCAGAACAGAAGTCAGACGAAAACGCGCTAGTGAAGCGCATGCACAAAAACGAGGATCAAGAAATAGGATTATTAGGAACGAAAAATAAATAGAAGCAAAAAAAAAGAGAAAAAACGAAGTGCTAAAAAAACAAGCCTCAGAACCAAGCGAAGGAGAACCATAACAACCGTATACCCTAAAGACCTAAACCCTGAAACCTAAACACAACAAAATAGAAAAGCAAAGCAATCAAAAAGAAATATCACTTCTCAAAAGTTGAGACACATCAGCTTTTTTCAAGGCTTCACCGCCACTCACTAGCACAATATCAAGGATAGGCGCTGAAGCCATCTTCCGCAGCGGAAGAACAAATAGTTGAATTTCCAGACTGATGTGGCTTGATAGGCTTATGATGCAAATTAGAGCCACCTAGCCTAGTACCAACAGGTTTGGAGATCCAAAATTTACTTGCTTTCGATATTTATTTCCATGCAGAAAGAAAACAGACCAGGTAAGATATTATGCGTCTTATTCTGAGAGAATTCAAGATAAATCTATTATTATTAGTACGTAAGTGACAAACAATATGGAATATTGACTAGTGGTCCACCACCCGCACGACGAAAAACCAGACGAGTAAAAGTGTGTTGAACTCTTTCAATCTTCATTATAACTTTTTTTGGGAAGGAATCCAAACTTGCGAACAGTCAAGATGTGGGATAACATAAGATTTGTATAACCGGAACAGTATCATTGGATTGAGAGTTTGTGTACTACGAAAGATAAATAAAATGCTTATGCCCTGTTGACAACAATATGCTCAGAAAATTTCAGAATACAATCGATGATAACTCCAATATCTTTCACCCCTTGACAAGCAGTCATCTAGACCCCATCAGTTTTAAACGAAGTTGAGGAATGCTTACCAACATGGAGGAAGGAACATCTATCTGTGAGAGAGAGTCTATTCTGAGAAGCCATACCACATTTTATCAATCGAAGGCTGCAATGCATCATGAACTGTGTCAACGTTATCTTCATCATAAGAATCGTATAAATCTTTATATCGTCTGCATAGATTTTTACACGTACATCCATTGCTCTAAAGTTTCGGGTAGGTCCGAAGTGTATACCAAAAATAGCAAAGGGCATAGGAGAGCTCTCTGATTAACTCCACTGGGACTAAAAACTTTCTGGAAAATTCATCACCAATCTTTACCGTCATGCGTCTACAGCTCAAGTAAGCGCGAACCAAGTTAACCCATTGACCCATTGACGACGACGCCTAATTTCGCTTGGCGGCGCTGTGGGACGAGGCGAATTTGCACAACACTTTCGGCGTGGGAGGGTTTTGTGACTTTTTACGAATTGTAAAGCTGTTTTGTAAAAAACTACAATCATCTTCTTGGACGACGAGGTCTACAGATTCCAGGGAGACGGCCCTTCTGAACCGCTAGCATTAGTAGCCTAATTACTGCGCACCTCTGATTGGTCGGCGCTGCCGCGGCGCTTGGGTAGGCGAGAGCTATGCTGTGGTTAGAGACATCTGAAGTGGACTGCAAAGGCATTCTCATGGTGAAAAAATTGAACAAGATTTCGAGTTTCCCATGAAACTAAAAAATGTTATACGGCGGCTTACGTAAATTCTTTAGCTTACACGTGCAGACTTTATGGTATTTTGAAAAATGGGAATGGCAAGAAATCACGAAAGCCCAGTAAAAAAAACACGCAACTTTTCAAACTTTCTGTCCATAATTCAAACACCGTCACTATCATTATTCGTGTGCCTCGCTTGTTTTGAAATGCTCAGAAATATTTGAAAACTCTGATAGATTATAAGAAAGGCGAAGTAATTAGCGCCGCCCGGGCAGAGTAATTAGCGTTAGGACGAAGCGGTTCAGAAGGGCACACACCCCAGATTCCAAAAGCACAAAAAACCAGAAAAAATACTGAACTGTGGAAGAAATGCTAGACCTGGAAAGGATACAATTTTGCAAGGCGTGGGGGCCACCGGTGGTCCACATCGTCCCTGGCGGCAGAAAGTGCGTGGGCCACCGGTGGTCCACATCGTCGTCAATGGGTTAATAAATTCTCCAAAATTTCGATATTCTCTAGCTTGCAAAGGAGCAAACAACGAGGATTCTATCAAAAGCCTTAGAAAGGTCGAATTATACAATATCCACTGATTTTCTCAAGCTCAAAGCTAACTTATAGACCGATATGATAACAATTGTAAAAATTCACATTTTGATCACATAACAATATTCAGGTTTTTGCTGAATGCAACAGAATTCTAATTGTCCACTTCCACGCACATGAATCACCAAAAATTGGATCTAACTCATTCCTTTGCCTCTAAATTGCACCTTTTTATTGAGGTCGCTAGACGATTTGGCCAACCAGCACAAAATCAAGTACGCCCCAGCGAAAGCGAGCTCAATGTACTCATATTTTAAGAGTATGGCTGAAATCGAAGAAAAATTTTACAGGTAATTTACTAGTTTGACTCTAATCTTCATGGAGCAGAATCACATTTTATAGCATTTGGAGAGATATGGCAATAAATGAGAGCATGACTCGTGCCGAGTTTCCAGTATGGGACTATCCTATATCAGACAAGTACACTAAGATGTGGAGGTATGAAAATTCTAGGTTTTGGATTGGGACCATAATTGCCCGTAGTAAAGCTCAATCAGTCCATCTGAATTGAGGGGCCTAAGGTGAACTTATGGCGCCTCAGTTAGTATAGACCATTAGTGTGAATGTAAATTGCTTGATAAACACCCGCGTTCTTAAGAAAAGGACATCTTTGCTGTTTGTGCACTTTTGGTTATTATATAGACAAGACAGCCAATGCAATCGGCACCGTCTTCTCAAATCGGTTAGTCACACTATGTGTGGTACTTCGCAATGCATTCTTTTGTAGCGCCCCTATCTAGAGAAATCGATGACGATCGCTTTCCAAGATTTTGATTAGTGACCGAGTAAGACAAAATTAACGAGTATTCTATGGTTCAACATGAATGCTACAAAACCTGCAATAGTTGGAATGTAGAAAAATATAAAGTCATCATGCACAGCTGCACAAAAAATGTAGTCCTTTGAAAAAAGTGACGATTAATTCATTTTTCAAGGCTACGATCAGGTGTTCATAGATCCCCTCTATTCGCACTCTAGAGCAGTCCGCACATTGTCGTCCGTAGTCAATGTCACCTTTTTAGTTGCCTTTTTGTAGCATCAGGTGGGGGTGGCCACTCGTAAGCTCATCTTATGGACCTCAACTGAGGCCCTCAGTTGAGGTCACCTGGATTGGCGAGCTTCACTGCGGTCAATATCAACATAGGCGGGAGTACTCCAGTTTGAAAAAGAGGTCGCTATTTCTTTGGATCACACTTGCCATTCATTTTGTCGTATTCGTATATGTTAGCGAAACTTGTACATTTTTCACTCAATTTCTTTATACTCCACCTTTCCGTAGCTTGAACCTCATCTTAGATTTTGAAATTTGATAATTTTGAAGCTTCCTTGGGAACTACTGACAAGGGCACCAAGGAAGTTGCTATACCGTACTGTTCTAAGCCTCGAACCGGATAGTTAGAAAATGAGCAAAAAGAAATTGAATTTCTTGTGTTTCTAATATTAGTACTTATCAAATTCGCTGTTCTGATAAAAATCACAAAATCTGTCGTTATAGGTTCATGCAAGAGTCCAAGTTTCCGAAAGATTTGAATGAAGGCATAAATCGAATTCTTACTTCGGATGAAGAGTTCGCATTCATTGGTTTGTCGCCACTGACTAATATGCTGAAATGATAGCCAATAAAGTGTGTTAAGGAGATTCCACAGAAGTAAAATTTGCAGCTCTCACAGATTGTCGGTTGCAAGTAGTCAGTACGGAGTTCTCTCGCAAACCTTTTGCTGTTGCACTTCAAGCGGGACACAGCCTTAAAGAGAAAATGAGCGGAGTGTAAGCCTTTTCTTTCGCATGTTTTTATCTATTAATGTTGAGCAAATTATAGCATCAGAAAGCTGATGATTGATAGAGTTCTTGAAGCTCTCGAAGAGAAATGGTGGAACGAAAATCCTGAAAGAGTAAGAAATTTGTTGCATTTATAACTTAAATAAAAGCCGCACTCTCGATACTTCATAGAAAATAAAATAAAGCAGTATTTTTCCTGTAACACGTACACGTAACAAGCAAGTATAATTGTGAGTCTCCTTAATCTTGTACAAGTCTGTAAAATGCGTAAGCGTATTTTGAAACTCCCGTATTGATATTATTCAAGGCGATATCAAACAGGGTGTGTCTAAAGTCTTAAAGCCTAGTATCTCTTCACCTGAAACTGCACGAAGCAACGTGGACATATGAATTTAGTATGTTTGTGATCAACCCACAAAACAACGATGTACACTCAGATTTTGAAAAACTCTCCTTTGGCCTTCACACAAGCCCTCAGCCGCTTGCGGAACGCATGCACTGTGGCAGAGAAATTAACGTTAAGATTCTCAACTTTTCGAGTCTCGCATTCCCGACTGTCCAAATTTTAGTACGGAATAGAGCATGTACTACTTTCCACGACTGATCACAAAAAAGTCAAAGGTTCGATTCAGCCATTGAAAGCACGATAATCTGAGAAGTATTCTGTTTGTGAGATTTAGCAAAATGTAGCAATCAAGTTCTTGAGAACATCAAGAGAACAGCGATTGTGGTGTTCCTAGATTGACCTTGAAATCATATTGTAAACAATGGGAGACGTACAACTAGACTTAGTGACTCGAACTGATTTGGTGTGAGAATTTTTTGCTTCTTCGGGTTTTTATTCCCGAAGACTTTTTCTTCTCAGTGGCAAGACACTACATCAGGAATTTTTTGTTAATCCCTCTTATTGAACAAAGATTGTTTCGCAGTTCAAATGTTAAGCGGAACCCGCTTCACAATATGCTCTTTTAGTTCCTCAAGAGCTCTAAAGGAAAAGAGCCATATAAGTTTGAACTGTGAGTAGATTTTCATTGGCTTGACCTAGTGGTACTCTTTGCTTAACAACAATTTTTTACAATGTACAATGCAAGGTGTAATTTGTTGAGAAATCACTGAACTAATGAAGAACCCTTTAGGCAATAACAAAGTTACTACATTAGAAACTCAGGCTTAAAGGCAGTGGCTCGGCAAATCTCAACCTAGTCAAATTTGCGCTTACCTGGGGTTATTCAAACGCTGATCCCGAAAATCCACGTCAAAAGCTTGAAAACGGCGAAAATTAGCGTTTTTCAATGCCCTTCCCTTTGGAATTGGACGAGTGGAGCAAGGCTGATGACGCCAAATCGTTGCAGGACCCAATGGTTATAGCATTGCGGCGGGCAGCCTGCAGTAGTGAGAAGGAAATTGTCAACTCGTCCGGATGCGTGTAAGATTGGCCTGCGCGTGTAAGTTTGAGAGCAATTTTCTCGGCAGATAAAGCATGCTGTACAACTGGGATTGCACTGTTTTCATACTTGGGCGATAAGGAACCTACCGCATTAAAATCCTGAGTTGTTGGATTTTGCCGATCCACTGCCTTTAAAGATGTTTTGGACACCCTGTACACCCATAAATCTTTTGAGATTTTGACTCCGAACTTCACTTGCATTAGAGCTGGTGGTGGAGGCATTTGAAATTTATCTTGTAGAGCTAGCTTTGCTTCTTCTGATGGTTGATCAGATCTATGTCGGATAGAGTAAAAGCGTGAATTATTGCGATCTGCAGCTAATCTAGTGCTTGACAGACAGGCAGAGAAGATATAAAGATGTGTCTTCAGGTTCGATGTTGCAAAACAGAGCTTTAAAGATTGAAAAATCAAACTTCTGCCAAAATAACCCTGCTAATCTCATTCCCGCCCAATAAATTTATTTGTGTATCAGTTACGTATGTACACTTGCTGTATTTCTTCCACTGCAAGAAGTTGAGAAAATGAAAGTTGGCATGCACTAGCAGAAGCAATGCTGGATTGTTACAACATGAGTAATTTCTGAGAAAGAAGTATATAACAATATTTTTAACATTCTTCAAACCCAAGTTGTGAGAGCAACAGTCTTGCTTATCGTGAAGGTTCAGGTAGTTTGTACGGAAAAAAACTACAAAGATGGGATGGACATTCTTGATGTAGGAGGAGTGTTCGTTGTTATCCTAGCAGGCTTCGTTCTATCGATGGTCACATTCACCATTGAGTATTCTTTGCACAGGTCGGTTCGCTCGTGTCAAAACTCTATAAAATAACTCCTTCCAGAAAAAACAATGCCAAAATTGTCGAACATCATTGAGATGGACGAATGGCGCAGTCGTAGCACCATGTTGCTATACTCGAACGAGCTGAACAATCACAACCAATAATTTGCTTATGACAGAACAGAATGCTGAAGTTCAATTTATTGTTTTGTACATGTTCAAGAAAAAGTGTGCAAAATCAGGGCCGCATGCATTAACATCCCCGCTCGGGAGACGCAGCTCGTAAGAAAGCTTCATATTCTGAAGCTCTTGACATATGACGATTTCTCGCTCTATTCATTTGCAAGCGTATCTCCTACCCTTTCCTACGAACGTATTGAGCAGGAGCGAGAGGTTGTACAAGCCGCATTTTCCATCTTTTCTTGCTATGATCCGTTGATCCCCAGCGGCCGAGCAGCTTTTCTTCAAAGACACTTTTCTTTTCCCGAAGTTGATGAAAGCATTTCAAAGCTGTACCGATTATCTAACTCAACAGTGCTAAGCATGTTTCTTATAAGAACAGATGATATGCAGAATGGAATTTGCGATAAACCACAAGTGTTGGGTATATCGAAAAGCTCAATATTTTGATGACTCATTTGTTGTTTATCACATACGTAGTACTATTGAATCAAACAATCAGTACATTGAAACGTTTTACCAACTTTGAAGAAAGTGAATGGTTTTGAAAACAAGACGGTCGGCCGGAGATCATCAGGAGATCATACAAAAAGGTGGAAAATGCGGCTTGTACAACTTCTCCCTCTTGATCAATAAGTTTATACTAAAGGACAGTAAGAACGCTTGCGGATGGATAAACAGCGGGAAATCGAGATGTTCAGAGCTTCAGAATACAAAGCTTTCTATGATGTTCTCGTCCTCAGCGGGAATGTTAATGCTTGCAACCCTTAGACATATTCGTAGTCGTTATTTTGGTCGAGAAAAATGAAGGTGTAGTTGTATGTGTATTCTATTACTGAATAGACCAGGCCAATTTGAACACACGGACCGGATACGACAGTTCATAAATATTTTTAATTCGAAAAGCTTTGTAATTCGTAATTTACCATATTATGTTTGTAGTATGCATGTATCTATAGCTGAGCATATAAAAGTGAAAATAATGCTGTATGGATGTTACTTTCCCAACCAGAATATCTCTAAAGTACGTGATGTTTTTACCATAATCGGTCAGGCGCGTCCTTGTTCGTGCTATTCTTAAAGCTTTAAATACTTATTTACAATGTTTGTAGGCTCTTTGGCTTGCTCGCTCTACCGAATAGGAAACAGAGTCACCACACAATTTTATTGAAGGTGGACAAAATTCTGAGGCACCCTGCACCAAAATGTTAACTCATCCCGGAAATCTTTCGCAACACTTTCAATTAATTCTGATTTTTCCAATTGATTTGCTTGCTCTCATTGTAAGCAAATCAAGCTCTTTATAAAAGCTTTAGCTGCTTTCTTTTCAGAATGCATTGCATAGACAAAAGGGCTGGAAGAAAATTACTCAAATTACAATTTTTCTGCGTTTGATAGTAAACATTTTAGACCTCACAGTAAACTTGCTCAATTTTATTGTGGGAAGTTTGTGCTGATTGAACGTTTACGTTAAAAGTTATAATTGTAGTACAAAACAGCACATTTGTTTTTTGTCATTTTTCATATATCATAACCTTTTATAGGGACTTTCAACCAGCACAAACTTTGCTCAGTTAAAAAAAGCAAATAATAGAACCTACAATCTCAACTGCTCCAGTCTTTCCTGCAAGTTCCGGATTTTTTACGACCAAACACAGAACAATAGAAATTTGAGTAATTTTGTGCTAATGCTTCTAACTATGCGATTTATGCTCGATAGAAAGCCAAAGGCAGTTTGGACTAGATTGGGAGTTTTGGGAGATTTTACAATCGCGCAAAATAGCCGCCGTGACATACCCGCTAGCTCAATTGCGGCACATTTTGTGGAACTAGAAGCGAGAAAAATGTTGGGAGGGCTACAACACGATCGGAGGACACCGTCCACCGGGATAAATCGACAAGCTAGAGTGCTTATATCCTACCACCATAGGGTTCTATCACGACTCTGCGTCTCAACTTCGGCTGCACTTGTTCAAATTTAAAGTCGGAAGCTTCTGAAATAGTCCGTTTTCGACATTTTCGTTTTCCGCAAGCTGGGTTTTTGAGATCAGCGGACGAAGAAAATCTTGTTCGGAATTTTGCCCGGACGCTGCCTCCAAGAAGTTTGAAAAAATGATTTGCTCTGTAAAACAAGAACGCAAGCAAGCTTGGTTGAGAAGAGCAGAACTTATGAATTTTTCAAAAGTGGTGCGAACGAACTTTCGCAGCGATCTATTAGGTCAATGCATAATTCTTTCACCAAAATTTTTGAAATTCCGTTGCTTCCTCCATGAAATCTTCTGGTTTGAAACATACTAGAAAGAGCAAATCTTCGTATTTTGGGGGTGCTCGAACCAAAATTTCTTAAGGGCATATGGCGAAGGTATAAGGCGAATAAGAGAAATAGCCGAAAAGTGGTGTTTCGTTTTTTTGGTCAATAAAATGGGTAAGAAGTCCACAAAAACCTACAGTTATTTTTGGTCTAACTCTTGTGACGTGTTCTTCTTAATTAAGAGAAGTTGGTAGTAATTGGATGTCTTCTGCGAATAGTTACGAATTTCGATTTTTTTAAAATTGATTTATTGATTTTGTTTCATAATGGTTTTCTAACATGTACTATAAAATACCACTTTTGATATACATAATAACTAGCTGGCTTACCCGGCTCCGCCGTATCCGGACCAAACTTGGCACACATACACTTCGGGCCCCGGCGGGTGTCACAGTCCACTTTTCGTTATCGATCGATGTCGATTTTACCGATTTTTATCGATTTTTTGCAGAGTTCACCTACAGGGCTAAGAGTTGGCACAGGGGGGTAATCGAGCATGGGGATTCCGAATACAACATTAGTTTTCAGGATCGTCCATTACTTTTATCGATTTTATCGATTTTTTTGTAAAGTTTGACCTGCGGGGCTGGGAGTTTGCACAGGGGGGTAATCGAGTGTGCCGATAATATCGGCACCTTTCTTTGTAGCCTATCTTCTGTTGCCAGAGTACCGTAAAGGTCATGCTTGAGCATGACCTGCTGTGATATGTGTATCTTTATTGCCCAGACATTGTCGAGTAACTGTGCCACGCCTATTTATGTCAGCATTCTACCACTGCACTAACACGTGCACGTCGTCTGACTCAATAAAGCTTAAATGCTTACGTGTTCTACATAGCACAAATCAAGAGGCGCTATTTCGCCTCAGGCCATAAAGGCCCAAGGAACCACCGACACATCGAGCATGCTGTTTACGAACACAATATTAGTTTTCAGAATCGTCCATTACTTTTATCGATTTTATCGATTTTTTTTGTAAAGTTTGACCTGCGGGGCTGGGAGTTTGCACAGGGGGGTAATCGAGCATGCAGATTACGAACACAATATTAGTTTTCAGGATCGTCCATTACTTTTTCGATTTCCCCCCCCCCCCTGGGGTGATCAGCATGCTCGATTACCCCCCTGTGCGAACTCCCAGCCCCGTAGCTCAAACTTTGCAAAAAAATCGATAAAATCGATAAAAGTAATCGATAATCCTGAAAACCAATATTATATTCGGAATCCTCATGCTCGATTACCCCCCTGTGCCAACTCCCAGCCCCGTAGGTGCACTCAGCAAAAAAATCGATAAAAATCGATAAAATCGATATCGATCACACCAGTGGCGTACCCAGGATTTCGGCTCGGGGGGGGGGGGCGCGACAAAAAATTTTTTCTAAAGAAGGTGCGTGGCGTTAGCCACGCACTCCGAAAAAATTTTTGGAGTGGTTCTCAAAACTTTTGCGGATCTCCGACCCCTGAAATCTGGAAAAAGGGGGCGTGGCGTCAGCCACGCCCCCGAAAAAAATTTTTTTACAAAGCTAATTTGAATTTTTAAAAATTTTTAAAAATTATTTTAATTATTTACAAAAATAAACAAGTCACTTGCACATTTTTATAACCTATATAAGTAACTTTCAAAAATTTCGCGACCCATTCTCGGGGGGGACGCGCGCCCCCCCCCCGCCCCCCCCCCCCTCGGTACGCCACTGGTACACACATACAGACAGACAGACAGACAGACATACAGACATACATACAAACAGACATTCAGCTTTATATATAAGAAGAGCATATCCTGTAAGTTGATTAGTTTGTTTTTTTGTTTTTTGTTCATTTTTCAAATAATTTTTTTCAATTTTTGGTGCAAAAATTGTGCATCAGCGTAATAGTATACAGTTGTACGGTAGAATCCGGCCAAAATTGCGGGATTCAGTTATAACTTCTTCTAAAACAATTTGTTTGGAATCTGCAAGAAGCTTCGGCTTCAGCTTGATGAGACGAATCTTTTAGTATGTATTATGCCCGTTTTCCATGGTGCATTGTATTGTATTGGTATTTGTTATAAGATTATGACCATGTATTGTTGCTTATATGAACAAATTTTGAAATAACAAAGTAGTATCATATGTCTACCGTATTACCATGGACTACGGCATAATGTATACTAAAAGATTCGTCGCATCAAGCTGAAGCCAAATCTTCTTGCAGATTCCAAATAAAGTTGTTTTAGAAGAAGTTATAACTAAACCCGCAAGTCCTGCAAATCCTGTAAATCCCATAATTTTGGCCGGATTCCACCGGTACGACTGTAAGTACCCATTTACAGGGCGAAAAACATTGCAAGTTCAACCCATTGACGACGGCCTAATTCTGCGTAGCGGCGCTGTGGGACGACGCGATTTTGCACAACATATTCGGCGTGGGGAAGTTTTGTGACTATTTACGTGTAAAGTTGTTTTTAACCAACAATAATCACTTTCTTGGATGACGAAGTCTACAGGTTCCAAGAGTGCAAAAAATTAGAAGAAATACTAAACTGTGGAAAAAATACTAGACCTGGAAAGCATATGATTTTGCAAGGCCTGTGGGCCACCGATGGTCAACATTCCCTGGCAGGTAAAAG